AGTCTGGGTCCTCCGGAGGACCCGGCCCTCTGAGACCGGGGAGTCTGGGTCCTCCGGAGGACCCGGCCCTCTGAGACCGGGGAGTCTGGGTCCTCCGGAGGACCCGGCCCTCTGAGACCGGGGAGTCTGGGTCCTCCGGAGGACCCGGCCTGTCGTTTTGGACACAGCCTGTGTTTACAGAGCTGATGATGAAAGTCCTGAAGCTAGACGGATCTGAGACCTGGGATCAGAATCTGGGTCAGAACTGGTTCTTTATCCCGGTTCTCTAGTGAACGGTTCTGACCCGACTGTGTGTTTTTAAGGCAGATCTGATTTGTGGATCAGAACCTGTGGGGACCTGGGATCTGAACCAGCAGAACTTTGAGGTCTTTTATTCAAACATCATAAAATCACATCAAACAAAGGAATAAATTAAAGACGATAAAGAGTCCAGATTCTGGTTCTGACTCGGTTTGTCAGCAAAGTTCTACAGAGGGTCAGGGTTCTGTTCAGTCCAGCCCTCCTGTTTAACAGCTGGTTCTGGTTCTGTCGGGTCACCAGTAGAAAGAGCGGGACAGGAAATTGGCAGCAGTTCTGAGCCAGCCGGCGCCGTCCTGACCCGATCCGACCCGGCTCACAGCCTTGTCTGGTTCCTGAGACGGACTCTCGTCTTCCGGCAGGTACTGGGGCAGGTCCGTGTTCTGCTCCACCTCCACGGAACCGTCCTCCGCAAACGGGATCAGAACCTGCCAAAAACAACAGCTTTTATCGGACCTGGTTCTGTTTGGACCTGGTTCTGTGCTGTGGAGTTCTAAAGCAGAACCTGCAGAGGTTCTGACCTCGTCTCCGGTCTCGGTCCTCAGCACCTGCTGGGCCTTCATCAGCTGGGTGGAGGCGATGGCCGAGGCCAGAACCTGGACACAGAACCACAGCTGTTACATCATCACTCCGACCAGAACCTGAGAACCCGAGGAGACCCGGCTCACCTCGGCCTTCAGGTCCGATCGGACCCGGACCACGCATCTCTTGGGGGCCATCTGGAAGGTGAAGCTGATGACTCCTCGGATCTTCAGCAGCGCCTCCTCACACAGACTCCTGCGGCTCTGCGGACAGAACCTGATCAGACCCGACCCGGACCAACAACCAGAACCTTTCACATGGGCTGAAGTGAAACTAATCTTTCAGAGGCTGAACTACAACATAAAATGAACGGATGGCAGGAAAGATGACGTTTTAAACCTTAATTAAAAATCAGTACAGTATCAGGAAATTAAATATCACAATATGTGATGGTCATGTGATGTGAGTATGAGTCACCTGTGAACCATAGCCATGTGATGTGAGTATCAGTCACCTGTGAACCATAGCCATGTGATGTGACTACACATTCTCACTCCCAAGTCGTCACATATTGACGCTTAAGGTAAGGTTCC